GACCCAGTGATGGGGGGGGGAACCCATGGCATCCATTGATGGCGTGGGGGAACCATGGGACCCATTGATGTGGGTGCGGGAACCGTGGGACCCCCTGACCCCATTGATGGGGGAGGGGGAACCCATGGGACCCAGTGATGGGGGGGGACCTGGGACACAGGGGTGGGGGGCAGGAACCCATGGGACCCCCTGACCCCATTGATGGGGTGCGGGAGCCTGGGACGCAGGGGTGGGAACCCATGGGACCCAGGGATGGGGGGGAACCTGGGACCCATTGATGGGGGGGGGTGCCATGGGACCCATTGATGGGGTGCAGGAACCTGGGATCCATTGATGGGGTGCGGGAGCCTGGGACCCCCTGACCCCATTGATGGGGGTGCCAGACCCCACTGAGCCCATTGATGTGGGTGCAGGAACCCATGGGACCCCCTACCCCATTGATGGGGTGTGGGAGCCTGGGACCCCATTGATGTGGGTGCAGGAACCTGGGACACAGGGATGGGGTGCGGGACCCTGGGACCCCCTGACCCCATTGATGGGGTGGGGGATGCCCTGACCCCATTATGGGGGTGCGGGACCCCATGGGACCCTCTGACCCCATTATGGGGGTGCAGGACCTGTGGGACCCATTGATGGGGTGCGGGATGTCCTGACCCCATTATGGGGGTGCGGGAAGCCATGGGACCCCCTGACCCCATTGATGTGGGTGCGGAACCCATGGGACCCCATTGATGGGGTGCAGGAACCTGGGACCCAGTGATGGGGTGCGGGAACCTGGGATCCATTGATGTGGGTACGGGACCCATGGGACCCATTGATGGGGGTGCAGGACCCCGCTGAGCCCATTGATGGGGTGCAGGAACCTGGGATCCATTGATGGGGTGCGGGAGCCTGGGACCCCCTGACCCCATTGATGGGGTGTGGGATGCCCTGACCCCATTGAATGGGGTGCAGGACCCTACTGACCCCATTGATGGGGTGCGGGAGCCATAGGATCCCCTGACCCCATTGATGTGGGTGCGGGACCCCATGGGACCCCCCGACCCCATTGATGGGGTGCGGGAGCCTGGGACCCATTGATGGGGGGGGGACCCATGGGACCCAATGATGGGGGGAGGGAACACATGGCACCCATTGATGGGGTGCAGGAACCTGGGACCCCCTGACCCCATTGATGGGGTGGGGGAACCCATGGGACCCATTGATGGGGTGGGGGTAACCTGGGACCCATTGATGGGGTGCAGGATGCCCTGACCCCATTGCTTTGGGATTGGAACCCCAAACCCTTTGATGTGGGTGGGGGAACCCCTGGGATCCCCCGACCCTATTGCTGTGGGTGGGGGGGTGTCCTGGTCCTATAGATGTGGGTGGGGGACCCTGAGCCCACTGATGTGGGTGCGGGATGCCCTGACCCCACCGTTGTGGGTATGGGACCCCTGAGCCCGTGATGTGGGTGGGGGACACCTTGACCCCATTGCTTTGGGTATGGGACCCTCCTCCAACCCCATTGCTTTGGGTGTGGGACCCCCCCGGCCCCCAGCCGTGGCTTTGGGCCCCGCTGACCCCGCTGTCCCCCCAGTGGGGCCCGGCGCTGTTCCTGTGCTACAAACTCGCCATGGCCAAAGGGAACACGCTGGTGTACGAGGCAGGTGGGTGCGGGGCGGGGGGCTGCGTGGGGCTCTATGGGGCTCTATGGGGCTGCGTGGGGCTCTATGGGGCTGCGTGGGGTTGTGTGGGGCTGCGTGGGGCTGTGTGGGGCTGCGTGGGGCTCTATGGGGCTGTGGGGTGGGGGGCAGTGTGGGGCTGTGTGGGGCTCTATGGGGCTGAATGGGGCTGTGTGGGGTTGTGGGGGGCTGTGGGGTGGTGGGATGTGGGGTTGGGGGGCAGTGGGGCTGTGTGGGGCTCTATGGGGCTGTGTGGGGCTGTGGGGCTGTGGGATGTGGGGTGTGGGGCTGTGTGGGGCTGCAATGGGGTGGAGGGCAGTGGGGCTGTGGGGTGGCTGCATCGCCCCCCCCCCAACCCTGGGCACCGTGGGGCGCGCAGTGCCAGCGGGGGCAGGCGGTGCCCTATGGGGGGAGTCGCACCGCTGCGCCCCACACCCTGCCCCACACCCTGCCCCACACCCTGCCCCACTGCGCCCCACATCATGCCCCATACTGCGTCCCACACTGCACCCCTCTCTGTGCCCCACACCGTGCCCCACTGTGCCCCACACCCTGCCCTCTCTGCCCCACACTGCAACCCACTCTGTGCCCCACACTGTGCCCCACTGTGCCCCACTGT